ATGCAAGGACACAACACATAGTAAAGGAAATAGTTTCTTCCATGTTAGCCAATTACCAATTTACCTTTAGCGAAAATAAAAGAGAGAGCATGAATTCTAAAATTGATAAAATTAAATGAAACTGTACTATGAAAATTGAAGTATTAAGCACCATGAAAATACATATAGTAAACTTAGTGCACTTGTTAATCATGAGGGAAAAGTTCTCTGCTTTTCACAGTTTAAATACATGTATGTTTTGTATTAAAAAAGGAACAACAAATACATTTAGTATAATTGGTTATGATTGCTATCTTTGTCTGAAGAGACCCGGGTTCGAGTCTTGATATTGAATTTTTTTATGAAATAAATAATTAATTGTAAAGACAAAATTATCCTTTCTATTTTCACTCTCATTGCAGGAAATTTGAAATGGAGAAAAGTTTACAAAACTCTACTATATATTAATGGAGGATGGGCTAATTTACGTGAAAATGTTTCGGATTTAGGCAAAGTTGGAAGGAACTAAGGAATCAATCTGAGGTTGGTGGAGAGGAAAAGTTCATGGGCGAGAGGAAGAGATCACCGATTTTTATCATGGAATTCATGGTAGACGTCCAAGTACACGGTCTGGATGTATTTTCCGAAGTCGTGAAGTCCAGCAACCAAAGAACCGAGAAGAACCCTTTGTCTCGTGGTTGGACTCGCGTTCCTTAGATGAGGTCACCATCGTTCTTTACAATTTATAGCTCGGTTCGTCGACAATACTAACTACTCCAATCTAGATCAAATTTACCCAAGATCAGCAAAGTAGTATACTTGTGACCGATGTCGTATCACTCGAAAACTTTAAAGCTACTATTACTATTGGCCTCTATCTTCTATCTAGACCAACAAGGTGGTTGATGTTTAGATGTGGACTAACTGAACAAACAAAGAACTAAATAAAGCTAACTATGATGGAGATTACTAGAGTAAGGTTGTTTCTTAGGTCGAAACTCTCTAGTAATATATTGATATGCATTGCATACAAGTTAATAACGACTTCCCTGTCGTTTAAGTTACAAGGAATCCCTTAACCTAGCATCTAAGGAAAGGATCATGTCTTTTAGATACACTTATAGTAGACTTCTTTGCCCAATGGTCATGCAAGCAAAAAATCACCTAGAGCTTTAAGATTAGATTCCTTAAGTTAGGAAAAGCCTAATGAAAAATGGGACTTCGACTCAATGATCACGGACTCCAAATCCCACACTACTTGATGTATGTTCTAGACTTGACCTAAGGGGAAGGTCACCTATACTTAAGTTAAGAACAAAGCAATAACCACCTTTACTAAAGCAAGAGATTGACATGATTAAATATCAAATAGACAAAGATAATAGGTTCACAATCGTTCTTACATACAAACTCATAATAAATCTACAAGCTAGGTTCATCTTCCTAAACAACAAGAGAAACTAGAACATAGAGAGAGAAAGAGTGTACAAGATGAAGAACTCCAATCTTGAGCTAGATCCATCTTCTCGTTCTTGGCTTAAGCATCCCTCTTGAATATCGGGAGGATTTGGGTTAGGATAAGGAAAAAATCACCCAAAACCTCTCCAAAATCATCTCTATGGCGTAGTATCGAGTTATAAAATCCTAGGATGGCCTAGGGTCATATTTAACGAGGTCTTTTGATAGTAACTACTCAAATCTAACCAATTATATTCGAATAATGATGCAAGAAAAATAACATGACGTGGGTTGAGGTGCCCTAATTCATGCTACTAATCTACTAAGCAAGAAAGAAACAATGCATGCAAGTAATTAAGGCAAATCAAGTAAAAGGATTGTTTAGGTAGTGTTCTCTAGATGATCATGCATACTAACTCATCAATGAGAAAATTCTATGCCTAATTTATTATGATGCCCTATCCCGTCCTCTAAGGCCACTTCCTACCCCATGCATGTGCCTTTTGCAATAGGAATTTGATTAACTAATGCGTGCATTCGCTTCCTGGTATCACCTAATAAATGAATAAAGAAGTTAGTATAGCACATGATTAAGTGTGGGCCTCTTTGAGCCATAATCGATGGTTTATAGCATCGATGATATATGAATGAAGCACTGATACTACTCAATGTACCAATGGTTTGGTAACTCCATTTATACTCAAAAAGCACCAATGGGGTGTCACTAGAGGGTAATTTCTTAACAATCTAGTTGATACAAAGCACGATGATATGGTGGCATATAAAAGGGTAGGGGCGGACCCATACATGCTTTAGGGTTGTCAATTGACAAACCTTAATTAAAAATTGAGACCCAATTAGTGTGTTAAAGTTCATATTATTGTTTGCTATAATTGAAGCATTTCTCATGTGACAACGCTTGCAATTTCAAATTGAACTTTGCAAACCTATTTAAGCACCCGAAGTAATTTCTAAACCATATTAATTTTATCAAATCCAAGCATCTTAATTAATTCTTCTTTTGCATGTTGGAGGATAAAAACTCTTTGACTAACTCCCAAATTCCTGTTACAGTTTATCGAGAGTGAAAACATCTCAACTTATGTGTGCAATACTTCCTTCCTTCCTTGGCTTCTTCTCTCGCCAACAGTCGCACTGTTGAGAGGTCCATTTCAGCAATTAAATTAATTAAAAATGATTATCGAAATAATATGTGATACCAATTTGTGAATAATTGCTTGGTAACATTCATTTAAAAAGGTTTGAGTTGCAACATAAGTGATGAATATGCTTCAAAAACTTCTTAGAATATGAAAATACATCGTGGTTTACTGTGAAACGATCAATATGTATAGTTTATGAATGAAATTTTATTTTTTATGTTTATTTTTATTTTTCATTGAATACCCTTGGTGAAATTTCTGGTCCGCCACTGCAAAAAGGGGTCTCACGCATGGAATACTTAAGCAAACAATGACATTACTATCGAAACTCTCAAGCAATAGATGACACAAGAATATATCAACTAAATCATCTATGGTACATTGAACACAATAGGCATCTCATATAATCATAGAAAGTAGTATATAAAACATCATAGTCACATCCTTAAACAATTTCGAGCTAGCTAAACATAGGAGAATAGGGAGACATTACCAATGATACAGTCATCAATGGTGACAACTAAAAACTCCCTATTGATCTCCAGTAGGGCTCTGCCTTCTCTCTAAAGCTCTAGCCTAATCTTCTATTTATACTAGTTACATAAGGTGGTTTTCTAGTATCTTTCCTCCTAAATTGGACAAAACCTTCATTGTACGACTTGAACATGGATTACTTCGACCTGTGGACGAAGTACAACCAATATAGAATCCTCTTGAGACTTAGGGCATGAACATAGGGTGGAACCACTGCTGGGCCGCCACTCTCTTTCTTCGTGCAATGGGTTGCTTGTGGTCCAAGTTACTCCTTCAGATCTGCTTGTTTTGGTCATAAAGTGAGCATCCGATGTCCAAATCCATCTCTGCTTGATCCCATGAGCTTGTAATCTCATGCTCCTTCTAATTCATTGGGTACTTTGGTGATCCATAATCATATTGAGTGCATTATATCCTTGAAAAGCACAAAACAACATCAAATGATGTAAAATAGTACAAAAAACACACTCAATTTCTATCATAGGCTCGTTATTCATATAGTTATGAAGTCCATATGACATATAATCAAAACCCACTAAAACTGCATTGATAAAAGGGGAAAATCTATCATATATAGGAGTGATATACACTATAAATAAAGTGTCATCAGAAATACCCCACACTTCAACCTTGATTGTCCTCAAGCAAACTCTACTCACAATCATACAACTCAATGGACACCAGAAAGCATCACTCAATCTAGATCTTAGGTAGTGGATCATAAGTGAATTTACAAGGTAAACAATAGCATGAGAGAATCTTAACCACATCAACATTCAAGAACATCATGCAATTCAATCCAAGCATAAACAACTAACCATTCATTAGACTCCCAAAACATAAGTGTGGAGCTTTTGAAGAAAAAAATTGTGAGCTTGAATGCTTCTACCATCAACTTGACATACCTTTAAGCAATTTTGCCTTATTCAACACATAAATTTTATTTATTTTCTTCTCTTTCAAACAACTATTTTTTCTTTTTCTAGATTCTTATTGTGTGGGAGAGCTTTCTTATGCATTAGACCCTTATTAATTGAGAAAGAGGTATAAGCTCCTATAGCTCAACTAATGTGTTGTGTCAATTTAATTAAGGTTTCTTAGAAGTTTTATCCATGCACTTAAGAACACATCTTCAAGTTGGATATCAATTCAACGAGTGGAAATTTTACTTGGCTATAAATTCCTCATCATCGATGGGTTGATTGGTATCCTCATCTCCAATAGACCTCTGACTCACTCCGACTACAACAATAAATTCCCAACTAGAGCCCAAGTATAAACTCTAGGAGGATGTATAGGGCAATCGTTTTAACATGTGAATTGGGACCGGTCCTTGTACTCTTACTTCAACTGTTAAAAATGTTATCTAGCAATCGTTTTGAATGAAAAATAAGGACTACAATTTAAAGAAAGAAGTTAAATTGTTTAGGAATCAATATGAGATTGTTTTGAAATCAATATGAGAAAGCTTCACCCGAGTATTACTCCCTCTAGCCTTGTATCAAGTTGCAATAACGGAACTCTAGTGTGAAATAGTGTGCTCTCATGCCGTGAGGATTACACAACTAGTGGAGAATTCCACTCTCTTAGGAAATCGATTAAGGAAAAGAAATTAAGCTAGGAAACGTAGCTCTCTCAATCAGTCGGCTAAGCATTGCTAACCAATATCTTGTAGGTTAGTCTGGAACGGCGACAAAGCAATAAAACACAATCTAACCGTGACGCTAAATCGATGCTTAAGGTGTGTCCCTAATGACCCTAGAAGGGTTACCAAATTTGCCCAGAAGTGGGCAAGGAGGGGATTTCCTCCTTCTAGGTCAATTTGACCCAAATGAGATATGGAACCCAACACTCACAAATCATGAAAATACCTTAAGGATTCTATTAAAACACACAATCATCACACATAGAGTTCAAATCCAACAACCTACTACATTTCTAGGCTAGATCTCACAATACCCAAGTGAAAAAGAGCACTACTCCATAGCTAAACTAGGGATTACAGAAAAGGGGAGAGAAAGAACCATGGTGTGGTGTTGGCTTGAAGTCTACTCCATTGAGCTATATGATATATCTTATTTGATAGAATCCTCCACAATCTCTTGGATGGTGGTGGCATCTTGCTCCTCTTCAAGTTGGGGCTTCATCTTGGTATGTTAGCATTTCTGACAGGTGGCTCATCTTGAAACTTCTCTTGAAATGATGGTTTAAGATGTTGCTCCTCTAGTGGATCCTCTCCTTCATTCTTCATTTGAGGTTGATCATCCTTATCTGAATTCTCCTCTGCAATCTCTTCTTCATTATTCATTTCCAAGGGTTTTGTTGAACATTGAATAAGAGGTTCAGGGTGGTCATCATACCCGAATTCTTCCTCCTTGATGTTTTCAATGGCGGATGCCTTGGTAGGTGTATTACTACTGGATTCAGATTGAGGAAGGCATAGGAAGTGTTCGAAACCTTCACGTGGTGTGAAGCTTTCAACATTTTCCCACGAATCAAAGAAAATTTTGATTAGTATAACTTCTTCAATACTGCAGCCTTCTATATCCGTTTTTACTCCTAGGGGTTGTATCTCGTCCTCTCCTTCTTCATAAGTTGTAAGCTCATCTTCTTCCACATTAAATTCGTTGGCCTTGTGATGATCTTCTTCTTGAGGCTCCTTGGTTGCTTGATCATCCATTCCTTCTTAGATAGATTGAAGATTCTTGATCATGACCTCCATTGGTATTATGGTGCTTTCATCGTGTTGTGAACAATTTCCTTCATCCTTTTCGTCTTCTTCAGGGAGTTTCTTGCCTTCTTCTTCCAATGATTGAGTCATAAACTCATCATTTTCTTCATTGGCCTCGTGATGATCCTCCCTTCTTCGATAGATTGAAGATTCTTGATCATGATCTCCATTGGTGGTATGGTGCTTTCATCGTGTTGTGAACAACTTCCTTCATCCTTTTCGTCTTCTTCAGGGGATTTATTGCCTTCTTCTTCCTAAGATTGAGTTATAAACTATTCGTTTTCTTCATTGGCCTCGTGATGATTCTCCTTTCCATGGTCCACGATCTCTCCATCTTCTTCGTCGTCTAATGGGTTGGCTTTGAGATGATCTTCCTTCTCTCCATGGTCCACGAATTCTGCATGCTCCACAAGCCCTTCATGCTCCTTTGTCTCTTCAAAACCTTCATGCATCTCATTGGAATGTCCTTTATTGACTTTGATATTCTCCTCAATGATTGAACAACTTCTAGAAGTCACTTTGGTCCTTCATAATAGGTGATACATTCAAATCTCCTAAGAGGTTCGGACTTTGATCTAGCATCTTGCATCGATAGCTTCGATAGATTGCTTCATCTCCTCTAAAGTTGGACGAAATCTGAATTTCTCCAGTATTCTCAAGTCTTCTAGATCTTTTTCTTTGATCATCGATTCATCATTAATCCTTGATCATAGTAATATAGTAGAGGAGGATTGATGTTGCTCACCTCGACTTTCAGTGCTTTTGGCCTAGTCCACTCGAATAGAGATATGAAACCCATCATTCTTCAAGTGATTCTTCAACTATTCTCGTACTTGTATGGTTCATTTATGCTTGATTATGCTCGGGTAAGTCACCATACGCTTCCCTAGTAGCCTTCAACTAAGCCATCACTAGGCCTGAATTTTAGGGTTAGACTGGGTAGCGCCATCGAGCATATTAAGAGTATATGAATGTTTTTAGGGTTTTGTAGTGGACGAGACATTCGTACCCTTGATACAAGAACGCCTTCCTAGACGATGCTCTAGAGGTTTGCAAGCGCACATATCTGACTCTTTAGTGTGCACGATATGTAGAACCTATTGAAATGATCTAAATTCGTAATGCCCCAGATACGTGAGCCTTGACTAAAGTGACAATGGGTCTTGAGGGGACATAATTGGAGACATGGGATAACGACGAAGGGCCATAAGATTAGAGAGCTCACGCACCGTATCCTATAACCCAACATAGCAACTATAGCTAGGGGAATTCAATCCTAGGAAAACATCTCATTTCTAACTGTCTCCTAACCACTTGGTTGGTTGTTTGTTTTTGTTTAGTTAGGTTAGTGATAACACTACATTCGAACATGTTTTTTCCATCATTTCTTGATCATTTGAGCTTGTATTCTTGCCATAGTGTCTCGTTTTACGCTAGGTTGTGTTGGTTTATAATGCTTAAGGTCCTAGTACATCAATGGGTATGAAGGAGTGAGTTTTGGGACGATTTGGAGCAAAAGGGCAGAGAGCTGGGCGAAGTTACGACCCAACCTTAGAATTTACGCTCATGGCCGTGACTCATCCCGAATACCACAATTAATTCCCGCCTAAGGTCCAAGTATAAACCCTAGTCGGGTGCAGTACATGGCAAGCTAAGTATGTTTAAATATTGACTTGGGCCGGTCCGTATACCCCTACTTCGGTCATTTGAATCACTATCTAGCGACTTGGTTTTGGTTGAAAAGTTTGCTAATTAAAGTAAAGCAAGGTAAAAGTAAATGGTTTTGAAAGCTCTTTTGTGAGAATATCACTCGGGTGTCGCTTCCCCCTAACTACTACCATGATATATGAATCGAAATTATTGCGATGTGCAAGGTGACCCAGAACCGCTAGGGGACTCAAATATGGTCGTAAACCACACTCTCGACTGCTAAACCGAGGGATACATTATAGGCTGTCACTCGGACCTCTCGGTTTAGGCAATCGATGGTTGACTTACTCCCTCACTCGACACAATGGTTGGTCGGCTTAATCGCGCTTAACTAAATTGCTTAATCCAACATCGAGGTTTGCCCTAAATTAACCTAGATAGGTGACTTAAAGAAAACCCTAGGAATACCAACTCAATTGAGCCTACCTTGGAAGGGGGTTTTCCCTCTCTAGTCTACGTTAAATTGGCCAATTAGATTGCTAAGCACAAACATGCACAATCAACATAAATAATACCTCAATCATTGAATTAAACAACACCCATACATTCAATTCACATAACAAAAACTACATGGTAGATAGTTAGGGTTTCACAACACCCAAGTGAAAAAGAAATCTACTCCATGCTAGAAATGGGAGAAAAACAAGGGGAAGAGGTAGAAACCATCATGGAGAGGCTTCCAATCTTCTTTGCACTTGTGTTGAACTTCTCTTGGGGAGAATCTTCCCAAATCCACTCTTGGAGCAAAACCCTAGCCTCCTTCTCCTAAGGTTCATGGAACTACTGGGGTATGCAAAATATCCGCAACTGTCAACAATTCCGTCAAGCTACTTATTAGACCGATGGTCACGCACGGTGAAATAATTGACTTACGCGCTGCATTCTTTGTACGCGCCATATTGTGGACCACTGTAAAAAAATTAAAAGTTGCACATAAAAATATTAATAACCCATTCTCTAATAAAGATCAATACAAACAGAAAATGTTAAAATGAACATAACTTAATATTTTTGATAATGGATGATCAGAAAGGTACAAATATTGAAAAATAAAATTTACCATTTTCTACGTAATTTTGATAATACACGAAAAAATTGATAACGGTGTAAAATAAAATGTCACGTGAGCAATGGACATTACAAAAAATTACCAATGCAATTAAATAATTGACTTGCACGACAGATTGATTAATAATAGAAAACAAAAGGTTGAGAACGAGCACATATTGATTAACAATGGAGACAAAAAACAGTTTGTAAACGCCCACACAATGATTAATAATAGATATCAAAAGGTTGAGAACGAGCACATATTGATTAACAATGGACACAAAAAAGTCTGCGAACGTCCACGAAGTGATTAATAATAGTCACCAAAAAAATTAAAAATAAATACTATTGTGCAGCGACAACGCAAAACACACTACTCCCATGCAACGCCAAAACCCTAATCCCATGCAGCGACGAAAAACCCCACAAATACAAAATAAATATTGGATACAAAAAAAAAACACCTTAAACGCCACCGACGAGAAATAAGGGTTCGACGACGGGGGTAGACTGGGAGTGGAAATGTTATCACGGACAGGGTTCGACGACGTCGGCGATGGAATCGACAATGGTGGACTGGAACGACGACGAGAAGGGGAGCTGGCAGAGACGACGACAGTGTAGAACAGAAGCGGGAGCAGAATCACCTGCCGGACATCTCAGCGGGAGGGAAGCTGGACCGACGACGACAACGACAGCTGTGTTTTGCGTTGGCGGACTTGAACGATGACTGCAGCGGGAGCTAGCTGCCTTCGGCGGAGAACTCTTACTGAGAATCATCGTCCGGAGAAGGGACAACCGGGAGAGACGGTTCGCTAGCTTGTGGGAGGAAGAAGAAACAGACAGCGGGACAGCTCGGATGTTTGCGGGAGGGAAAAGAAAGAGACGTGGGTTAGGGTTGTGGTTTTTAATTTAATTGTAGTCTCCTTAATACCCCTACCGACTATTTAACTAATAACTCCCCACTAACTACCTAAACTTGAGTCAGCCAATCACAACGCTTTAAGATCCTTCTTAAAAAAGAGGCCTTAAGGACCTGAACTTAGGCTGAACTTAGGCCGGGGATAAGGAAGCGGCGAGAAGATTGGGAAGAAGAAGGGTTGGAATAAGTTCGGGGAAGAAGAATGGGGAAAAGATCATACAAGAAAAAAGAAAAAAAAAAGATTTCAAAATAATGAGGGTGGTTGATTATTTTGAAATCTTTTCAAGTGAAGGTTTTAGAGAATTGATAGGGTTCAAATTTCTCATTTTTTATCCTCTTTCCAAACAATCTTACCGAATCAGGGATTTGCTCAATATTTCGCTTCCAAATACCTATCCAAACGACCCATTATAAACCAGGGTTAATTAGGGTTAGTAAGTACATAAAGAATGAAACTAGGCATGAAACCTCGACCTTCCCTAATCCCTAAGGGGTAAAATGGTGGATTGGGCCTTAGCTTATTGGATTGTAAGGGCTGTAGATAGCTCTAGTTGTTTGTTATGGCTGCCTAATGCATGTTCATGTTGGAGTTAGTCTAGCCCAGCCCATTCTTTACAAATGAAATAAAAGGTACGAGCTGGCGCACTGTGCACCCTTCCAAGCGGCGTAGGTGTCGTTTTCTCCATTTGCCTTGGAATTAGGTGGCACAGTGACGCGCAGTGCGAGCCGGTCAGCTCCTTCCTCCGGCAAATTCTTCCCCGTCGACGCACACGCAAAAATCTGCTGTCGCTCCTTCATCCCGTCGTCGAGCTTACCGCTAGTCTGTTGGTGTAGCCAGGTCCACTAGAGCTCCTAATAGGTCTGTGGATATCGGAGATTAGGTTCGCGAGTCGGTGGTTTAAAATTCTCTCGATGTTGATTCGATCGGAAAAGAATTATAGGCTCTCGGCTCTAATCTTTACCTCTTCGATTCTCCTGCTCTGCTGCTTTCCCGGTAAGGAAGCGGAAACTTGTGTGGATCAATAAATTACCAGGCTACTCAATTTATGCAGCATTGGGGATTGAGTTGTGCTGGTTTCTTTGCAGATCTGACGCTTTCAGCTGTCGTTACGCTGGATTCCATGGAAATTTATAAAACTCACGAGTGGCTAAAGAGTTGGAAACCGACGGTGTACTTCCGCTGCAATGGGGAGAACGAAACTGAGTTGCCTGATGTCAAAGAAGTCAATGTCACGTACAGCTTCAATGGCGATGAATCTTGGCAGGTAAGGAATCTGAATCAGCTCCTTTTTGTTGAACTGAAATCAACTGCATCCTTGGCTGTAGAATTTAAGGCAACGCAATAAATAGTTTATGATGCTTTCCTTGTTTTGTATTTAAGCCATTGACAGAGCTTACCTCCAAGAAATGCAAGCGTTGTGGGTTCTATGAAAAGGATAGCTTTAAATCCGACGATGTCTTTGACGAATGGGAGTTCTGTCCTTCGAACTTTTTGGATTCTGATGGAAAGTATCGGCGGGTCAAGGAGCACGAATTCGATGCAAGCTTTTTGTGCAAACATTGCGTGCCTCTGGCAACTGGTCAGTGCTTTCCTTGTTTATACCATCTGCATCCTCTAGGGGTCGTTTGCATGAACTCTTCGATGCTAGCATCTAAGCCTTATCATATGTAAGAGAATGAATGGTATCAGATCGATTATTCAACCTGTTCCAACAACTTAAGTTAATTACAAAGTGGGTTTAGTTTTTTCCTTACTTGTGCACTAGGCAGTTTTCAGCAGTCTGGCTGTGTTAAATGAATAATTGATGGTTTGTTCTTCCAGTGGAACTGAAATCTAATTTATCTGCATGGGAGCATTCTGGTTATAGTTCAGAAAGGAAATTCACATCTTTACTTCAATTTTAATTCGGATCCAAAGATTGGTCTGTTTCTGCTCTGGTGTCGTTGTGAGGGCCAAACAATCAGGCTTTATGCTCTTGTTTGCCTGTCATTGATTTGGGAATTCTGTGCTTGTGTGTCACATTGCTGAGCTTGCTTAATTCTTTTCCTACTTTCAATCGTTGCCTGGTGACAATTGTTCCTCCACAGATTCGAGTCGAGACTCTAATAGCTCACCTCCCAAGCGGAAAGGAAAGCATGTTGCTGTGATTGTACTGATCTGCGCCCTAGTTTCCGCTATGTTGATTCTGGGGTCAGTTGCAGCATACAAGTACTGGCTAAGGAAGAAGAGGGAACAGGAACAAGCTCGATTTCTGAAACTTTTCGAAGACGGTGATGATGTTGAGGACGATTTGGATATGGATACATTATAGATGAATACTCAGTAGCTTTCTTACTTTCCTGTACAGATAACGTTGCATTTTACGTGAACTGGACGCTAACAGAGCATTGATTATTCAAGCAGAAATCTTCATTTCTTCAGTGACTCGTTGAAGTTATCTAGTTCTTTTGAATCGAAACCGTAGATCGCCTTGATCTTTCTCTACAAGAGCTGCGAGCCTCTTTATTGAATTTCTTATTGTCGATGCCGTACTAAGACTCGAACACATCGATTTCGACTCACAAAAGTATGGCCGATCTGGGAAAGAGAACCAAAAATATATGTATATGGGTTAATATGTTATTGGCTCGAAGTATATGCATATAATGGTCGTGGTTTCAATCTTGGCATATAGACTAAATTGGTCCGACGCGTCTATTTGAACCGTCTAATTGTCATGTCAGTACCAAACAAAAAAAAAATTATGAATTTCTTTTACTATTTCCTTTATCTAATTAATAAATAATGAAAAAAAACCCAAAATTAAATTTCAGCCTCCCATAACCAGCTTATCCCCTCGCCTCTTTCTAAATAGACCAAAACCAAAGAACCCTAACCATTCTTCTTCTCCCGTCTTCCCTGACGAGTGGCATTCTCTCCAATTCAAATGCAGCATCGGCCGGTCAGTTAAAACGTCGCATTCATCGCCGCTTGCAAGATCTACTCCTTACCCAGAACCCTCACCTGTTGTTGTCACCCGCTCCTCTCGCTTGCCTCTTTTCTCTGTTCTGTCGTCGACGAAGAGGAAAATTAGGGCATTATCTCCTCTTCCCCACCCAACGCTCTCTGTCCATTTTTTTCTAGACCAAGCCATCCCCACTCATCGCTCTCTGTCCAATTATTTCCAGACCAGCCATTCCTCACCCATCACTCTCTGTTGTAAAAGGCGAGCAAAGTGAACTTCGAGGGACCACTTCGACAAAATCGTGTTTGCTATTCAGCTGGGGTAAGAAATCACGATTTCTCTTAATAATCATCAGAATACATCCAAGAAACAGGATTTAGCTATATGTGGAATGATGTGCAGTGGAGATTAAACAATAATAGTTCATTTGTCTTTGTCGGCTTAGTAAAGCGAGCTTAGAAAGATGTGTTTCTGGATTTGTATATCTGCAGGATGGAAGACCAAATTGAGCTCATTTTATGCCATGGATGTTTTATGGATTTGTAAGGAGTTGTTCCAAAGTATGTTGGAGGTGATGAAGTTGTGGTGAATCTGCTTGTCGATGTATTATCATATTTTGAGATCAAGAAGACATTAATTGAAGATTTGGAGTATGTTTCTGTGGAAAGGATTTAGTACTTGACCCCAGGGGAAAGTATGACCTCTAGATTGCATGAAATACATTCAGACGTGGAGATGATGAATGGATTACTTCAAGATGCAGCTAAAAGAGATGTGAGGCCCTACGTTGAGGCAACCAAAGACATTGGTGATGATGGATTTATGGGTGACAAATATGGCCATGATCGTGATGGATCAGATGAGGAGGGTGAAAACTCAGTTGTATCTGAATTTCTGCGAGTAGATGAAGAGGGTGATGCCCAAACATCTGATGAAGAGTACCATGACATCAGAGAAAAGGTTTGAAAGAGGAGGCAGAATTTTAGAGCACAGATTGAGGTATAGGGGAATGAGGTGGATCAAGTGGTCTTTGAAGACGAGGAGCAGAATTTGAATACTAATAATCCAAGGCAGAATGAAAAGAGTACAAGTGGGGGATGCAATGAGCCATCTAAAGCTAGAGAAATGATGCAGATAGTGGAGGATCAACGGAAACTTAGTATATGGGATCAGAGGAGTATGCTCATGTTATAGGCGACATTGGCGAACAATAAAATGGTACCAAGATTGACAAGAGCCTGGTTTATGATCCAAAGTGCGATCATAAAGAATTGAGGTTCGTCACTTGTATGCGCTTTAGCACCCCTGAACAGTCTAAGGAAGCTATAATGAGGCACTAAATTGAGAATGGTGCTGATATCATATGATTAAGGAGCAGTGGCTGAAGGGTATATGCAAGTTGGTTTCGCAAGCATGAAGCCATTGTGGTGAACCGAGTTGAACTAGCTCACACTTGCCTGCGTTCACTTCAGATTCGTGCAGTCAGTCAGAAGTGGATAGCAGAAGAATATCTCAAGACTTTTAGGGTAAATCAAGGGTGGGATGGTGGACTAATAGAGGCTCAAGTGAAATGCAAGTTCAACTTGGTTGTGTCAAACCAAACTTGCTACTGAGCCAGGCCGGAAGCTCGTCGCATCGCATGCTATATGGCTCACTTGAAGAAGATTTTAACTAGATTAGATCATATATAGGTTATCTAGTGAAAGTTGACCTGCAAGGATACTTTCTTCTTGAGGTGGATTTAGATCCGAAATGTGACAAAGTCTTCTTCAAAAGACTTTATATTGGCTTCTCCTGTTTGTGCAAATGGTTCCTAGAAGGTTGTAGACCATTCTTCTGCCTCGATGATTGTTTCTCAATGGGGAAGGCCACAAAGCGAGAACATGTATGAACAAGCCTATGGCTCCGAAGACGGCCACACCTACAAGGAAGAAGCAAGCACGATTGAATCAGCAATCACTCGTTCCTCAATCAAATCAGAAAGCCCGAAGGGAGAATCAGGTAACTCGAAAAGTCCTTCCCAAGCACCAAATCGGCACAAAATGTATTGACTATATCATGCTGCTCTTGTGCCAATAGTCCCTTGTTTACCATCCACAGATGTGAAGAGTAGGACTTCATAAATCATAATTAAATTTATGCAAGTCTCAATGATGTCTATCGAATTATACAAGTGTTCATGAATTCTCAATTACATAGCATAGAGTCAGTCTTTAAACAGATGATTCGGCTAGAAAGGCATATGAAGGGAGTTGGTACTAGTAAAGGATATGTTGAACTTGAATCCTTGGCACTGCTTGCCACTGGACAACAGTATAAGTATTAGAAGCAGGGTCAGAGTAGTAGAAATACTAGAGATTATACTATTGACGACCAAAAGTGGTGCACGTTTTGTAAGATAGAGAACCATACAATACAAGAGTGCTTTAAGCTTAAGAATAAGCAGAACAAAGAAGCAGGTCCTCCTTTTGTTGGTTCAGTGGATACTACTCCCAGTGATGGTAACTGTGTACCTATAGGACGTAGTAGGGGAGACTCAGATGTATCTCTGAGCAGTCTCCTTATAGAAAATCAGTTTGAGCTGTTGAAGCTCATGTTGGGAAGGTCTCCTTCCCCACCAACTTCCCCTCATATGCAGCATACTGCAACTATTGTAGTCATGGGTTGAGAATTTCATCAACCAAATGTTAATTCCTTGCACAAGTCCAATAGATCATCTCAGTTTGCTGCCAATTCTTCAGGTAAAACAATATGCTCTAGTATTCTCACCCCAGCAGTTTGGATTTTTGATAATCGATCAACATACCACATAATCTATGACATAAGTTCTTTCATTAAATATAAACCAATTAAACAATTGTTTGTGAATCTCCCAAATGGATAATAAATCTCTACTATTCACATTGTAATTGTTACTTTTCCTTGTGGATTTTTCCTCGCTCAAGTCTGTTTTGTTCCTTCCTTTACTTACACTTTGGTTTCTATAAGTAACTTAACCCAAAATCATCCAGTTTCTTTATTTTTAAATCAAATTTTTGTCTCATTTAAGACCTTATTACTCGGAGGAGGATTGGTTTAGCCCAAGTGGATAGAGGTCTTTACCTGTTTTCAAAGTCCAAGGGTCAGGTTTTGATGTTCATATGAATTCCTTGAATTTAGCAGTAGGAGTTTTCAACTTTTGGAACCAAGATTTCAACATCTGGCATGCCAAATTAGGTCACCCTTCTCTATTTAGAATGAGAGATGTGAAGTATCACTATCCTGATGTAAATCTGCCTACTGTTAAACGTTGTGAAGTTTGTCATTTGTCTAAGCAAAAGAGGTTGCCCTTTCCCGTTAGCACCTCAACCACCACACACATTTTTTCTCTTGTTCATGTTGAAATTTGGGGGCCCCTGAAAACAATTTCTAAGGATGGTTTTTCCTATTTCCTTATTGTTGTTGATGTGAAGCAAGGTCCACCTTGCAATCTTTTTGTCTGATGGTACAAACTCAATTCAATGTACCTGTCCAAACTATTAGATCAAATCAAGGGGTTGAGTTCCATATGCGAGATTTTTATTCTGCTTATGGAATTGTACATGAAATGAGTTGTCCCTGCACAGCCCAACAAAATGGGAGAGTTGAGCGTAAACACTTGCACTTACTCAATGTTGCAAGGTCCCTCAAGTTTCAATCTGGTTTACCATTGTGCTGTTGGAGTAATTTTGTTCTCCATGTAGCCTACCTTATCAGTAGAACACCAACACCACTTTTGAATCATAAACCCCATTTACAAAATGTTGCATAAAGTTCCTCGTGATTACATGACTCTTATATTCTTTGGTTGTCTAGCCTATGCTACAGTTGTTAAGGGTTATAAACACAAATTTGATCCTCCAGCTAGGAAGTGTGTTTTTCTAGGTATACCTGTAGGAATAAAAGGGTACAAGTTACTTGACTTTGAAACAAAACGAGTCTTTATTAGCAGAGATGTTGTCTTCCATGAAGACATCTTGACCTTTCTCACTTCCTCTTATGCAGATGAAAATCAACATGATTTTCCATCTGGTCCTTTGTCTTCATCTAGTCCTGAGGAATCTTTTGTTCCTGAAGCTCAACCCTTTTTTTAGTCTGAAGTAGTAGTCTATTCTTCTCCTCCTGCTACACACTCGCCCTCTACACCCCCACATGTCATTCCTGCTGCTACTACTGAAAATCAACATGATTTTCCATCTGGTCCTTTGTCTTCATCTAGTCCTGAGGAATCTTTTGTTCCTGAAGCTCAACCCTTTTTTGAGTATGAAGTAGTAGTCTATTCTTCTCCTCCTACTACACAATCGCCCTCTACACCCCCACATGTCATTCCTGTTGCTACTACTGAGTCTTGTAGAAATTCTCCTACCACTTCTTCATCCTGATCCACTTATCTTTCATCTGAGCCTTCTTCTTCACCAGGGTACCCACCTGTTGTTCCCCTTCGTAAATCCACAAGACAAAGTGTCTTTACTGCTAAGTACAATGACTTTTATGTTGGCTTCAATCAAATCAGTTGCCCTGTTAGTGACAACAACATTCTTTCAGATCTTTCTCATCTCACACCTGATCAACACCACTTGACTCTATTACTAGAGAAGATAGTAGAACCAAGTAATTATGTTGAAGCTGCTAAGGATCCAAGATGGAATGTTG